AAAAAAAAAAAACGTTTAACAATAGAAATAGCCAGCCTTTGAGCTTTTGTGCCAGCCTTCATTAGTCCAGGGGCTGTGCCCAGCAATAGGTTTGCTCTACTCCTCACCGATAAGACCTATAGGCTCTTTTGTTTCTTAGGTTCAGGGGGTCCCATTTCAGGAGTCTGCAGATCTGAGCTGAAAGAGCCAGAAGATATTTACTGTGATGTAAATTACTTAATCCTTGTAACCTCTCTGCAAGTGCCTATCAACAAGTAAGTAAACTGAGGCTCAGGGACTAGCTTTAGTTATTATTTCTGAGAGGAGGCAAGGTAAAAACTACAATTCATAAATATGAAAAAACTGTTTTTGTTGTTTTTATAGGGGGCAGCTTTCTTTAAAACTCTCAGGAACTCCTAAAAGTTTTGTGTATATAGTTGTATATGACTGTTCTTACCATGCTTTATGGAAATAGCCTCTTATTGAAAACATTTTGTGTTTAGTTCAGTTATGTAGCTCTTATATTTTAGTAAATACAACTACTTTCTTTGAATAAAATGAATGTTTTCCCAGCTAACATTTTAATATTGTGTACTTTTTTTATCGAGAGAGATTAGGAATAGTGTTTTAGAGAGATTATTTAAAATACTGGGTTTAACTGCTAGCAGTCATTCTCTTTCCCTTTCTGTTGATAATTAATTAGACTGCAAATGATAAGACAGATGACCTTCCCCACTTTTTGATAACTTCTAATTCATGATTTGGAATGAGCAGGTCCTAAAGAAGAAAATTTTATTTATTCCTACAAAGGAAGCTTCCACCTTCACTTAAAAATGAGGTGCCCCTTAATAATTTCCAGTGAACTGCCCACTTCACAGGTGTGACTAGGTACAGAGTGACTAGGTAGAGACAGAGGCAATGTCACCAAAGGGACTGCTCAGCTAGCCTGTTCCCTCCCCCAAGGAGGGAGGCCCAGTGTGGTCCAGGGCCAACGCTACAGGAAACAAAAGGATGGGTTGATCCTGGAACACTGTTTTAACATTAACCAGTTCATGAAAGATCACTATCTGTAAGAAATCTGGTTTATTAATAAGTTCCTATAAGCCGGGCATTGTGGCACACGCCTGTTGTCCAGCTCCTGGGAAGGATGAGGCAAGAGGATTGCTCGGAGCCCAGGAGTTTGAGGTTGCTGTGAGCTATGATGCCACAACACTCTACCCAGGGCAAGAGAGTGAGATTCTGTTAAAAAAAAAAATAATAATAAGTTCCCCTAATGTTATTGCCACATTAAACTTCTCTGGCCAAAACCACAGGGGAGGCTCACCTTAATCAGAGATAGATGTTAGGTGGGAAGATCATCAGAGAAAGTGACTTTGACCCAGTGGAGAAACTTAGCTCAGCACAAGTAGTGGTCCAACTTGGGTTTATAGCATAGCCGACTCCCTGTGTTGCTGCTGCTCTGTGCTCTTGAGGCTGGAGTCTGGTCATTCTGATTAGAATTTGAGTTTCACTAAAGTCTTCAGTCATACTGCTACAGATAACTGATTATTCTTGTTCATTGCATTAGTTTCCCCTAATTTTACTCTTAGAATAAACAGCCTCTAATTTGTTTGTTTTTGTAATGGGTAGCTTTACTTAAAACACAATAACCAAATACATGATTTTTATTTTTGCTAAAATTTTCCTAACTTTTCACTCTATTACGATTATACATTTTCATTGTAGAAAATGGATATGTGCCAAAAAAAAAAAAAAGTTTCTTTTATTGTTGTGACCTGGAGAGAATCTTTGTAAACGTTTAATCTCCGTTCTCCCAGATTTTGTTCTGTGTATTCGAGATCCCCCCCCCCCGTAGGATTATGCCCTACATACTGCTTGTAACCTATTTTATTGTTTGTTGAGAGGATATGATTTATTTTTAGAGCTGCTTAAATTTCTTTTTTTTAATTTTCTGAGATTAGCAGAGAAATAGTGAATCACCAATACTACCTTTGTGTTGCTTAATTTTCTTGCTGAAAAATTTTCGGTTCTCAAATAACTATGCATCAGTTGTACTGTGTGGTTCCTTTGGAAGGTTTTTAAAAATAGTTTCTTGCAATAATTGTACTCTAATTCTTAGGAGACAACTTTTATTACTCGTTTTCTTCAATGGGGATTTGAGTAAGTATTATAATAACAGTTTTATTTTTATTGAGTCTGTGACTTTTGTATTAAAGCAGCCACTTGACTGTAAAGCGAATCGATATCTGGATTTCTAAACATTTACAAGGCAACTTCTTTAATTAGATATTTAGAAATTTTGGGCCCTTTAATGGAGCTCTCTCATTGAGCTGTGTAAGCGTAATATAACTGCTGCTTGCTAAGTATCCCCTCCAGCACTTAGAGGAATTGATTGTGCTCCTAAAAGGCAAATACTCTGCTTTAGTTGTGTAGCCTTTTGTTATATGTACTGCTAAGCCATAAGGACTCCTTACAAGCCTGCTGGACAGAAATATTCATATATATATATATATTTGTAGAATCCTGGATTATTGTGGCATTTTTGTCATACCATAGTATTCTGAAATTGTCCATGAATGGATTATAACATTTATTGTCACGGTTATTTCTGGGATTATTGTAGAAGGCTGGAAATTTTCAGTGGGCAGAATTGGGTAGTAAGCACCAGCTTAAAAAAAAGAAGTTTTGGGCTGGGCATGGTGGCTCACACGTGTAACCCTAGCACTATGGGAGGCAGGTGGATCGCCTGAGCTCAAGAGTTCAAGACCAACCTGAGGAAGGTCTACTGAAAATAGAAAAACTAGCCGAGTGTGGTGATAAGCACTTATAGTCTCAGACACTTGGTAGGCTGAAGCAAGAGGATCACTTGAGCCCAAGATTTGAGCTTGCCGTGAGCCATGATGCCATAGCACTCTACTGAGGGTGACAAAGCGAGACTCTGTCACAAAACAAACAAATCAACTTCATTTGCAAAAATAGGTGGTGGACCACCTTTGGCCTGCGGATTGTAGTTTGCCACCTCCTGGTCTAGTTGGGTGGTTTCTGGTCTTTGTCTCGCTCGTGTATCCACAGCAGCAATTTTCAGAGTTCCACTGATTTCTTTGTCATAGTTGGGTAAGGTAAGATTGAGGAAGAACTGAACCTTGTGCAATTAACAAAAGCTAACTCCCCCCCCCCTTCTCTTTAGGACACTTTATTTCCGTACATCAAAGAAAATGTTAAAGAGTATCTGCAGACACACTGGGAAGAGGAGGAGTGCCAACAGGATGTCAGTCTTTTGAGGAAACAGGTGGGAACATTTCTGTCTCACGTTCCAGAGTGTCTTAGAGTTGAAGTACCTAGGGACTTAGAATATCCTCTGCGCATAGTTTAAAAGATGTGCCCTGATTCGCAGATGACAGAAGTTGCAGCAACTTGCCTTCTCAGGAATCCATGGGACATAATTGAAGGCCAGATCGTGGCAGTTTGTTGTCTTTAGAATTGCCTCTTTCTAGAGTTATTTAAATTGCATAAAAATATCATATTTCTAAAACTAAGCCTCTTCTGGTTGGAATGCAAAGGTTCTGTGTGGTCTGTTTTTTCATTACTTTCTCCAAGTGACATCATTTGTCATTTTCACTCTCTCCTGCCCCCTGGCCTGAGCCCCTGCTGCCCCTTCTCCAGTGCTCCTGGGTCTTCACACCCACACTCCCCTCCGGACTACTCATGCCTGCGCAGTCTGGCCCGGCCTTCACGTTT